CGTGTGTGTGTGTGTGTGTGTGTGTGTGTGTGTGTGTGTGTGCACTGAGTGAGCGTGTTTGTGTGCCTGTGTCTGTGTATTGCTGTGTGGGAGTGCATGGTGAGTCTTGGTGCAGGTGTGGTGAAGAATTTCTTCAACTCACTGTCCACTGAAGCTGCTGTGCGCTTCACAGCCTCCCCTCTGGTGGGGACTCTCAGCCTGAAGCTCTCCCTGCCTTAGTTTCCTCTTTTTGTGAAGCCAAGCTACAATCACCTCCAGGATGTCTGAAGGAGGGAGACGGTGCCCTCTAGTGGTCAAGAGACTTACAGGCATCAACAGTCAACCTCAGTCAGCAGCCCACAAACCAAGGCTGGAACTTAACCTCTGAAACTGCCCTGAGGAAGGGCAACAGAGCAGGCCCTGTCACCTGAGAACTACGGCCTGGCAGATAGGAAAAAGATGTCCATGGGGCAGCAGACAGAAAGGGAATCCATGGATTTGTATGGGAGAAGACAACAGTTGAAGGTAGCTGATCTCTCTCCTCATACCCAGTCACTTTTGTGAGGTTTTGTCTGTCTGTCTGTCCGTCCATCCGTCCGTCCGTCCATCCGTCCGTCCATCCGTCCGTCTGTCCGTCCGTCCATCCACCCACCCACCCACCCACCTACCCATCTAGTTTGTGTGTGGGTGTGCACTATGGAGCTTAGAGGACAAGTTGTGGAAGTCAGTCCTCTCCCCCCACTCCATGAGTTCTAGGGGTTAAACTCGGGGGGTGCCAGGCTTGTGGCAAGCATCTTTACCTGCAGCCATCCTGCCAGGCCACTTTCATGTGGTTAGTCTTTCTCTCACTTCTTTTCCTTGATGCGGCCTCTCTACCTTGATCGTTCCCTCTCACAAGCTCCACGCTCACGGAGCTGTGGGTTACCTCACCTCCGCAATGCCCTGAGTAGAGACCGAACCCTTCTATCTGAGCCCTGGGCAGGCGCTGTGCCGTGTGGAGTCAGGGAAGGCTTCTTGTTGTAGGGAATATAGAAATAAGGTATTGAAAAATAAGTGGGGAGCTGGGCAGAGTGGCTTGGGCCTGGAACCCCAGTTGCTTGGAAGGTAAGGCAGAAGGATGGAGGGCCCAGGAGTTCAGGGACAGCAACACAGGAAGAGCCTGTCTCTCTGGAAAGACCAGAGGGCTGGGCTGGGGAGCTGGCTCGGCAGCGAAGAACATGGCTGCTCTTCCAGAGGACACTTGATCCATTCCCAGCACCCATATAGCGGCTCTCAACCACCTTCAGGTGGTCTATGATTCCAATTCCAGGGGATCTAACACCCTATTCCAACCTTCTTAGTGTGGCACACACTGTGGTGCACAGTTGCACATGCAGGCGAAACACTCATAGACATTAAATAAATAAATAAATAAATAAATAAATAAATAAATAAATAAATAAATAAATAAATTAGATCAGAGGCACCAGACATGGTGGTGGCGCTTACCTTTAATCTCAGCACTTGGGAGGCAGACACAGTTGGATCTCTGTGAGCCTCAAGGCCAGCCTGGTCTACAGAGTGAAACCATGTTGAAAATAACAACAACAACAACAACAACAACAATGCTGATGATGTCATCAGGGCCAGCAAGATGACCGGCAGGGAAAAGCGCAGGCTCTGATCGCTTGAGTCTGGTTCTGAGAGCCCAGTGTGGAAAAGGAAAACCGATTTCTGAACACTGTCTCCTGACTGCCACACTGCCACACAAGGTCACACTACATGAAACAAAAAGATAAGAAAGAAACGAGAAGGAGCCAAGCGAACATCCTGGGGCTGGGGTGAGCCTAGTGTGTCTGGGAGGCTTCTGGGCGCTGGGCGCTGGATTGGGGGGCAGTGTCAGAAATGAGGGTGCAGGGTACAGGGCTTCCTGTTAGATAGGTCCATCACAGGCGATGAGCTTTACCAGAAAGCGCTGAGGAGTTTTCAGCAGGGAAATGGGCAGGATCACGACATGAAGTAGAGACAGGGACACGGGAGGCTGAGAGTCTGGTTGGGAGGCTGCTTGTCATTCAGAGAAAAGAGCTGAGGTACATCTAAGGGCACTGGAAGGCTGGAGAGGGTCCAGACCTCAAGGCTTTCTCTTCGGGGCTTCGTGTCCTAGCAGGAAAGCTGAGGCCAAACGTTACACAACAGTCAGCTCTTCTAGAACCCAGCACCCTGCCTCTCATCCCAGCACATCCCGGGGTCTCTCCGGCAAATGGGATGGGGATCGGGGAGTGAGGATAGGCCTTAGACTGCCGGAGGAATGGGAAGGCCCAGGAAGACTGCTGAGAAAGAGTTAATCTGCTTACTGGACTCTCCCTCCCTCCCTCCCTCCCTCCTTCCCTCCCTCCCTTCCTCCCTCTCTTCCCTGTCCTAGGTCACCTTCTTGGCCCTAGAGACTTGGCTGGTGGCTCAAGTTCCTCAACCAGTGGCCCTGGACAATCAGGGCACAGAGGGGTCAGGAGCCTGGGGGCAGGGAATGGTACATGGAGACCTGAGGGAGCCTCGGGAAGGGAGGGGTTTGTAATGCTAGGATTGGGGGGAAGCTCTCGCGTGGGTTCCCCACACTTCACCTGTCCCAGGACCTTCTATCTCCACACTGGCTACAATCTCTTCCGCCCCCTGGAGAGATTCTCATGCTCCTCTTCTAAACTGGTTGGCATTTTTTTTTTTTAAGTGGGGGAAGGCAATCTGTGGAAGGGTTAGAAGTGTTCTGTCAGCAAGCTTTTCAGCTTGAGTCCCTCCCCCGGTGCTGGGAACTGGTCAGAAATGAGTCTGTGGTCAGTGAGACATTTCTGCTAATGGAACCTGGGCTGCCCCACAAGCCACAAAGAAAGGGGGGGGGAAGGAGACCTAAGCTAGAGAGCTTGTGGGGGGAGGGCTGTGGGCCTGAAATAGAGCTGTAGGTCGGGGAGAAGGAGTTAGAGATTAGCTGGAGGGAACTGGGGGGTCAAGGGAGTCACTGCGGGATGCTCAGGCCTCCAGGGAAGTAAATTGGGGCCAGTGATTGGGAGGTAAGCAAGTACCAAAGGAACAGTTAGAGTGAACAGCAGCCTGAGGGTGGACCAGAGATGTGGGGGTCAAGGAAACGATTGGAGTGATTAGAGACAGTGCCTAAGGATGGCCTGAGCTGGGATATCCCAGGAGAGAAGGTCTAGATTGAGTGAGAATAAAGGAGAACAGGGATGGGGAAACTGAGGGACATGCCGGGGAGCTGTTGGAGGCAAGCTTAAGCGCATGTGTCCTGTTAGACACACAGCGGAGGTCCTCCTGGCAATGGGAGGAAGGGACTGGATTGGGCCATCTCACCTGAGGAGTGGGTACCAAACCCCAGACTTTCCCACGGCTCTCACTTGGCTTAAAACCAGTGTCAGACAAAGGTCTCCAGCTCCCCTCCTCCCCAGCAGGCCATCTTCCCCACGCCATCAATTATTCATCAGCACAGACACCGCCCTCTCCAGCAGGGCAGCCTGGTCCTCCTCCCGGTGCCCGGCCCCAGATCAGCCACACTGCCACAGAGGCTCTGGTGAGGAAGCACCAATAGCTGGGCCGGTGGAGGCCTAGCCACGGGGTCCCGTAGCCGGCCCTGCTGGACCACACCATCTCCTTCCCCTCCGGCACCTTCCTCCTGCCCCTGGAGAAGATGCCCATCCAGATCTTTTGCTCTGTGTCATTCTCCTCTGGAGAGGAAGCCCCGGGACCCATGGGAGATATCTGGGGTCCTCACCACCGCCGGCAGCGGCAGGACAGCTCAGAATCGGAAGAGGAAGAGGAAGAGAAGGAAAAGGAGGCAGTGAAGAGGGATCTGGGTGAGGGGGACTCACCTAGGGACTTGGTGGCCTTCGCCAACAGCTGTACCCTCCACGGTGCCAGCCACGTCTTTGTGGAAGGGGGCCCGGGGCCGAGGCAGGTCCTGTGGGCAGTGGCCTTTGTCATAGCACTGGGTGCCTTCCTGTGCCAGGTAGGCGACCGAGTGGCTTATTACCTCAGCTACCCACACGTGACTTTGCTAGATGAAGTGGCCACCACGGAGCTGGTGTTCCCGGCAGTCACGCTCTGTAACACCAACGCCGTCCGGTTGTCCCAGCTCAGCTACCCCGACTTGCTCTACCTGGCCCCTATGCTAGGGCTGGATGAAAGTGATGACCCTGGGGTGCCCCTTGCTCCCCCTGGGCCAGAGGCTTTCTCCGGGGAGCCCTTTAATCTCCACCGTTTCTACAATCGGTCCTGCCACCGGCTGGAAGACATGCTGCTCTATTGTTCCTACTGCGGGGGCCCCTGCGGTCCCCACAACTTCTCAGTGGTGAGTGGGGCCCACGCTTAGCGTAACATCCCAAGAGTATATGCCACGGCCCTCTCTAGCCATCACTGGCCTGGGGCTGGTAACTGCTGAACCCTGCCTGACCTGGGCCAGAGCTCCCCTGGGATCCCAGAGCTGGACCAAGAGCCCCAGGTTCACAGCTCTTCCTAGCTGTGTCTTGAAATACGTTCCCATCTGTAATTGGCTGCCGTTCTGATGCCTGGAACATCCTCTAGTCTCGTCTGCTCTCCCCTGGACCTCTCCACGGTCCAGCACGGCCCCAGAACCAAGCCCGAGCTGGGAAGTCAGCCTCTGATGGGGTGGGTAGCTATGTCTGGCCAGTGGCTGACTATCATCCCTGGAGTGATAGTGGGGGGGTCACCTAGTCTCTAGAGGTGCAGAAGGGGGTCACAGGAGGGGACAGCCCCCACCTTCATCCCAGCACCATGTCGGCAAATCTCACGACAGGGACTTCATTGCAACCTTACTTTATCTCCTGTGTTCTTTCCTAAGGGAGTTGATTCCCTACAGCTGTGTGTGTGTGTGTGTGTGTGTGTGTGTGTGTGAGAGAGAGAGAGAGAGAGAGAGAGAGAGAGAGAGAGAGAGAGAGAAGTGTGTGTAAGTGTTGTGAGAAAATGTGAGTAGATGTGTAAGAGTGAGTGAGTATGTGTGTGTAGTGTATATAAGTGTTGTAAGAAAGTGTGTGTGTGTGTGTGTGTGTGTGATCCATCTGTCTGTGAAGTTGGGAATCCTCTAAATCAAAGCCCATGTTTCCAGCTCTGATTAAATGGCCAGAACTTTCTTCCTGGAGGAAGCCATCATTGGAAAATGTCACCTTTCCCCATTGGTCTTTCCACCCAGAGGTGGAGGGACTTCCTAGTTAAGGAGCCATCTGCTACCCACCATCTCTCCAGTTCAGCTTGCCATCCCATCTGGCCTGATGCTGCTCTGGTCCCCTGCAGATTTCAGATGCCTGGCCTTTCTCTATACCCAGTCCTCTATGTTCTACCATGTAGGAGCACATGGGTGTCATCTCACCCCTGAAATGACTGTGACCTGGTGGTTCTGGTTCTGATCACTGGGCCTCAGGGAGGGCAGAAGATACAGGGTCACCTAACAAGGAAGGTATCTGCCTTGAGGCCCTCAGAGCTCTATGAGAGTACCCCAACATGCCATGCCTTGGAACTGAGCACCCCAACATGCCATGCCTTGGAACTGAGCACCCCAACATGCCATGCCTGGGTACTCAGTCCTGAGTCTGGGGGGGAGGAGGTGATATGCCCGAGTTAAGTTTGGTTCTTGGCATGGCAACTGGGCTTGCATTCAGGTTCTAGTGATAACGGAACAATGGTGGATGCGAGAGGATGCTATCAGGAAGAAACCAAAGGGCTTAGCTTGAGGGGCTTAGGTGGAGGAAGGTCTTGGGGAGGATTTCTAGTTCAGGGGGTTGGAATCTCAAAGCAAAGACCTAAAGATCTATTGCAGAAAGCCTCAGAAGTCTGGCAGTTACAGGATCATGGCGACGGAGGTGCACAGGTTAGGATCCTAGCAAGAAAGATTGTCCCTTGATAGTTGAGTTGAAAAGACTTTAACAAGGGGGCTGTCTGCGAAGCTGTGTGCAGGATTAAGGAAGCCATGGAGCCAATGCAGCTGGTAATAGTGGGGAACTGTTATCACTTCTAGGCTGAAGGACACAAAGGGAGTCCTGGCAAGAGTTACGATCATGGAGGGTCTAAGCCACTGCCAGTGTTACAGAGAGGCAAGGAGAGGGGATGAGGACTCCTCTCCCTCCCTCCCCCCTC